CCACCACCTGCAGGCTCCTGCGAGCTGGAACCCTGATACATGTAGGGCGCAATGGGCGCATGTATTACAGGAGCCGGAGGCTGGTGCTCGCTACCATATGCAGGCTGCGAGCTGGAACCCTGATACATGTAGGGTGCAATGGGCGTAGCTGTTCCAGAAGCAAGAGACTGGCGCTGGCTACCATCTGCAGGCTGCGAGCTGGAACCCTGATACATGTAGGGAGTAATGGGCGCAGCTGTTCCAGAAGCAAGAGGCTGGTGCTCGCTACTGGCATCTGCAGGCTGCGAGCTAGAAGCCTGATATGTATATGACGTATTGGGCGCAGGCATTCCAAAAGCCGGAGGCTGGTGCTGGCTCCCTCCTGCGGCGGGCTGCTGCGAGTGGGACGGCTGGAAGCTGTAGGAAGTTGTGTCTGACACTGGGATATCGGACACCAAAGGGTGGTATTGGCCACCGCCCGTAGGCGAATTGGAATCATAGATAGCCGCGTCGGCAGCCTGAGAGGCAGAGCCTGGCTGGGATCCGTTTTCTACTTGAAACTGGGAATCAAAACCTGGATGACTACCGCCCACGCAGTCCTGCCAGTGGGGGTCAGGGGTGCTGTAGACTGTGGTCGCATTGTGCGCCGGCAAGATTTCAGACGCCAGCGTGAGCCCAGGCGTCACGGTAGGCTGGACGTTAATATCAATATCTCCCGGAAATGGCGACTGAGACTGGAAATTTAGGTTACTTACATCACCGCTCGCTGGTAAGCCCCACGGCGGCGCCGGCTGAGGCAGTTGCAACTGATTTGATGACTCGGAGTCACCATCACCGTGTGCTGGATACCAGCCACTGTCAAGTTGCCCCCAATGATTCATCGTAAGTCGACTTGATGAATAAACTTTCTAAGTCATCATAATGCAGCAGCACGAGAGGTCAGTCAATGACAGCGGCCACATGATCTGTCTGGCAGTACTTACCGTTTTTGATTGTTACAACGTTAGAGTGACGGCTCTGTCGAGGCCAATCGGCTTGGGAGGCCGCTGCGACTCGATGACGGTCACCCTCGAATTGAAGAAAGTAAGTATAAAAGTGCTGCTGCCAGTGCAGCCGCAAGCTCGAGTCTGACTTTGGGTATGTGACTCATCCCAACTAATATGATCCTATCGCCGACTGCTGCTTTACTAGATGCTTACTCGTACAAATCTGCACTTACCTCGAGGCCGGCCCCTGAACAGTTCAAATTGATTGAGTCAATTGGTAGCACACTGAATCTAATTCATTCGGGATGTGGCCTAAAAGGTGCGTGTTAATTCCCGCCATGATTAGCAGAGGGACACACCTGGTTCAATATCTGGCTCAGATTGAAATCCTATCTAAGACTGGTTTATCTCGACTCACCCGAGCTAAGACACGTTATTTTGGAAGATGGAAAATTAAACTGCCGCGGTTCAACGAGTATAATTGGCAAGAGAGCCGTGGTAGGCTTACCAGAAGTTTGTAAACAAGCTTCGGTCTATTAACTACAACGTACTGTTTCTGATTCGGCATCGAAGTGCTTTGTGCTTCACGCACGGAAGCGAATATCCGATCGTCGAATAAACTCAAAGTTTGAATCCGAAAATTACCCAATGCGACTCGGTCAAAACAGGTTTCGACCAATGTGAGATATGTGTCATGATATATGATGCACGATGAGTAGAGCTGGATGCATTTATTGATTACATGACGGCAGGCGAAGATAACGCTAAGAGAGAGGTCGACGACAAAGGAGTTCAGTGATAAATAGAAACAAAACAACAACAAACCGGATCGGCTATGAACTCGGCCCTATGTGATTCTGATCATTGACATGAAAAATCGTTAGACCACTGGCAGGCCTCTTCTAGGGTCCTGGAATTAGTGTTGCTGGTGAACTGAACTCAGTTCGAACTGACTTCACTTCACTTCGAAAATGAGGCAGTTCGTTACAGTCTGGTTCGTTACACTTCGATCAAACATTTTCGTAAATGAGGCGATGCAGCAACCCAATTTGGCTAATCGCGCGCCAATAGTTTCTTATCTTGAGCGCCATACTTACTTGCCAGCCTTTGGTACTGACTACTATGATGGCGGCCATTACTTGACAATATCTGTAAATTCGAACCTATACACAACATACTGGCAGTTTCGGAGGATTCCTACCCGCAATCCAATGCAAGGCCATACACAATACACTATTAGCTTGCCGCCCATTGAGAACAATGGGAGGCCTGTGGCCATGCCCTTTCGCGACGCTAAGCAGCCAGTATCTAACAACGACTATCATACATCAATGTTGATATAGATATCCGGCGTTCGACATCCCTTTCCTCAATCACGTCTTCTTCAGGTTTGCCATCACCTTCGCTAACTCTATCAAACACAAATGAAGGACACCAACTAGCTGCCGAAGAGCTTGCTCAACAAGAAGCGAAAGCAGTCGAAGAAGGCTAGAAGGGAGTTAGAACGTTTAATTTTATAGGGCGTATCATGGGTCGACTCGGGTCATACCCGCACCCAACCCGCGGGTACGGGTCGACCCACGACCCAACCCGCAGGTGGTACGGGTCACCCGCGGGTGAGTAGACATATTTTGCGATACTGGTATGTACATGTGCTGAGGAGCGAAAACACTATGTACGAAGCTTAGTCCGAGTCAATAACAATATCGTTGCTCTTTCCCTTTCCTGAGGCCTTGCCTTTGCCCTTTATCATCTTCGTTCGCATGATTGATGTGACAGCACCGAGATCGTTCATGAGAGGTGTGTTGTACCATGATCCCACAGCCATCTGAGCTTTGAAGGTTTGCGAACTAACACCATGCTGGAGGTGGTTGACCTGAAGACGGCCACCTGAAAAAGCCCGCTCAGCGTCAACCGAGGAAGCTAATTGGTCTCCGTCAGATTTCATCAATCAACAAGCGAGGAAAATACCTGGAGCAGACAAAAAATCAAGTGCCATTTGTGCGAGTCGTGGACGAGTGGCACGAGCATTCTCCCAGTAGCGAAGAAGACCCCCTGCAGCCAGAATCTCGGTTCTTGAAATTGACAGCGCAGCGCATCGCAATGAGGGCACGATGGGCCTCGGGTGTATACTTTGAAATTGAGCCGCTAAGAGTTTGCTGGGCGCCCTTCGCATTCGGACCTTCAGTCGAGACACCACGCCGCTGAACACATTCTTCGATGCCCCGGTTGAGGTTTTTCGTCCCTTGTCCAGTTTGCATGCGTTTTTAGTGATGCGGCTTATGGTTGACAGGGTCAGTGTGGCACGTGAATTTGAACTCAAGATAGTCGCGGCTGCCATCAACTTTCAAACGACGATGTAAGGTTATCTTGAAGTGATCATATGCAGCGGAATTCCATCTAGCTTTAGATGCATCTGAAAGGCCAGTGAGTTTGTTAATGAAATTGAATGAAGAGGGGGACGTACTTATAATCTCGTCATCAGTTTTGTCCCAGACATCAAGATCTGTGACATCAGCTTTTGTTCGTCGTTTTTTGGTGGGAGACTCTAACACGGGAGTCGGCAACACCACTGTGCGCTTACGGCTACGTGTGTTCTTGGCCGGCGATGCATCAAGTTCAAAATCGCTTGTTGGTGTACTGGGAGAGGCGCCCGACATGGGAAGGGTTGCAACTTGCAAGTCTCGAGACTCTGGACTTATGAGTTATACCATCCATGATCAGTAACCACTCAGCACTGATAATCATAATGAATCTAAGACATTGCGGTTGGCGTCGCGTAGAATTTTATAAAGATAATCCATCGATAACGACAGATCATGGTCAAAGCAACACTGCCACAGATTGAAGTCTCCTACCCGTGGGTACCCGCGGGTAGCCAATTTTTGCAGGACCTCTACCCGTACCCGTCGCGGGTGAGCCACAACGGGTACCCATGACCCGTACCACCCGACCCACGAGTCACCCGCGGGTGTTGCCCGGGCGGGTACCCTGGCAAACCCTACCCATGATACGCCCTATGTATTCATACCTAATACGGGCATGACTTCGAGAAAATAAATTACCAAATGCGACTCAGTCAAAACAGGTTTCGATCAATTTGGAATGTGGATACATGATGATGCATGATGGCCCGGCAGTGACATCATGACGCTTCAAGCCCACCTGATCAAGGGTTACACTGGGTTACAGCTTGCAGCCAAATATAATACTCATTCCTGATACGGGCATATGACTTATTGTAATTAAATACAGAGCGTCACAGGCAGTGCGAAGTTCCAAGATCACCTACGCCGCGATTTGCAACCTACATTCGTAGCAAAGCTTCTCCTACGCGCTCGACACTTCATAAGTTGGATCATAGATTACAAGAATTCAATAATACGTTGGTACTACAAAAAGAGGACCAGAGCTATACGGTGCCCCGCGCCATGATCTCTGCAACATATGTGAACTCAAGGGGGGAAAATCCGCAGAAAGGAAAGAACTTCATTTAACCAGAACAATGATTTAGTACAATGTTGTGCTGCCCAAATCCGTCAGCACCTGTTGCGTGGGATTAACACAAGCTTTACCACATATGTGAGCAACACTTACATCAATCATCGGACTCGGTGGAATTCCTCGAAGTTCCACATATAGAGCCAAAACTACCGCCAAAGTTGTCTTCGTCCGAACTCGTAGCACTGGCATCCGAGTCCATGAGTTGCACTGCTTGCAATTGTTATTCAGTAATGACATCGCGGGTAATGAAAATACACACATGTCAAACTCTCGGCATGATCGAGCTCTTTGTCAGCAATAGCGAACGACTCCAACTCAAGCTGGTATGCGGCAACACTACAGCTCTCACGGTCGTCGAGTCCACTGGCCGTACAGTTAGCCAGCGCCTCAATTGAGGTTTCGAGGGGTTCCGAAATGGCATTGACGTATGCTTTAGCTTCACTCTCAAGAGTCAAGCACATGAACTTTTTGTGTTGCACAATTGCGTCGATTTGCAAAGCTGCTGCCACAGCACGCGCACGTCTCCATTCGACGTTAGCTCCGATCGCGACCACGGCTTGAGCACGGGCCTCGGGAGACAGGCTCTTCATTCTACGTGTCAGTCTAGCTTTGTCCTGGAATGACTGTTAAGGGGTGTTCGATATTATTATAGACATAGACCAACATACCTTTGGATTATCCAACGGAATCGTGGAGCCATTGCATCCCGAACACTCCTCACCGCAGAAGCGCTCTATGATGTTAGGATTAATTCTCTTATAGGGCTCGGGTCTTTCTTTTGTGCTCTTGACATAAAGGGCCAGATTGCGAAGTATGGGAGGAGGAGTTATAGGAGCGATTATATCATCATCTGATGAATCATAGGAAATGTCAGATGAAGGGGGTGATCTGGGACGTTTGTAGTGTTTGCTCAGCGAGGGATGACGACTCGGAGTCCTAGAGAAAATTGGGACACTACTATCTGAACCCTGCTCGAGTTTCCTCTGAACACGACCAGCGGTACGTCCTATCCTGCTTTGATAATCAGGATTAGACCCTCTGATAGGGCTGCCAGTGGGAGGAGAGGTAAGACAGGCGTGCATGTGTGAAGTTCAGCGACTTCAGCCGTAGTTGACGGATCCAATAAGTATTACACCAGGAGGGAGAGGCTGAGTTTTAAAGCAAAGCTAGCTACTTATAAATACTATGATTCACTATACGAGTCCGTGAACATTTAACACCGATCAAAAAAAGGAGAAATTTCATCCTGCTGCCGGTACTCTACTAGTGACCGTCGAGTCAGACCCGGATCAGATTTACTATTACAAATTTATAAACAGCCAATTTTGTTTGAGGTTATTAGAGTACCGTGACTACGTTCCTTGAAGCCCAAAGCTTAGGGTATGGATTGGAGTCACAACCCTTCTGGGTCAGACTGCCGAACTGCTGCACTAACCTTTGCCTTCAAGCCTGAATTCAAGCCTTCAGGCCTTAGTTTGAAATTTGAGCAGTGCTTCCTACTACTTCAGCTTGATGCCACGGTAAGGCTCCCCTGGCAGAATTCATATTGCCCAAAAATCCTAGGCCGGAAAAGGGAACAATTCGTGAGACTTGTAAAGTCGATTTAATCGCCCGATATAGTGCGCCGAGGCAGGCCGAGGCGTCCAGCTAAGGTATAACTAAATGCGACCGAACTGGATTCGAACATGTTTGAAAGAAACAAGCAACTCGTGTAATATGTAATAACGTCTGACAAGTCCTTGGATTTTCTTCCGCTGGCCTTAAAAGGGACTTATAAGGCACCTCATGATGCGACCAGATCTATAAGCCGGCGGCATTGTAAAGGTCACTTAGCTTTTTCGGACATGTAGCCAGCAACGATCGCACACCAGTCAACAAACTACACTCTACTCCTGCAGGTTCAACGTCCTTATCACTCGATGGTCTTCCAGCTCATATTGATGCTACAACACTCCTTCGGTCATTTTAAAACGGAAGCTCGGCCTCGGCACCCCGACATCGCATCTCGAACACATGGCTTGCCCAACGTGCGGAAAGGTTATTACCGACACTCTGACTATGAGCCGAATTAATAGTAGCTTTGATGGCTCGCCCAATGTATCTTCTCTCGTCGTCCCTCCTGGTTCTCTTACTGCTGCAGCGTTCGAAAGCGGCATGAGCGCTGTCGAAGAACTAAGGTTGCTCAAGGCTCAGGTCCAAGATGACGCTCGCGTGTGCAATGCCGTAGCCAGAGGTGACTTGTCCCAGAAAATTACGGTTCCCGTGCAGGGTGTGGTCATGGTTCAATTGAAGGATGTCATAAATACTATGGTATTCGTCCAGAATCTTATCCGAAGGTCTTGCTCATGCATATCATTGTCAGGTCGACAAATTTGGACAGTTCGCCAAAGAGGTCACTCGTGTCAGTCGAGAAGTCGGCACAGGAGGGTAAAGTGACTACTAACCCGGATCTTATACGATTTACTCAGTGTTCCGTAGTAAACTCGGTGGGCAGGCTCTCGTATTGGATGTCGAAGGTACTTGGCGGGAATTGACTGGCGTCGTCAATAAATTAGCCGCCAATTTGACCAGTGCAGTCCGAAGTATCGCCAAGGTCATAGGCTAAAGCTGTCGCGCAGGGATATTTATCGAAACAGATTGACGTCGATGCCCGTGGCGAAATCCTTGATTTGAAGAATACCGTAAACGGAATGGTTTCGTGCATTAGCCGCCGAAGTTACCCGTGTCACATTAGAAGTCGGCTCTCAAGGCAAGTTGGGCGGTCAAGCGCACGTACCAGATGTTCAAGGTGTTTGGTTCGAGTTGGTTCGCAATGTATGCCCTTTACCGTGTCTTATTGGCACTGGTCTAATCTGCGTTTTAAGGTCAATCGGATGTGTTCAAGCTTGACGGATCAAGTGCGGTCTATTGCCAATGTCACAACGGCCGTTGCTAGGGGCGACTTGACACAGAAGATTGAGATCCAGGTCGAAGGCGAGATGTCAACGTTGAAGGGCACTGTCAACTCCATGGTGGACTAGCTGAGCACATTCGCATCCGAAGTCACTCGTGTCGCACTTGAAGTCGGAACGCATTGACCAACTAGGTGTGGTCAATTGCAGAAGTGTCGAAGACTGTCGCTGGCGGTGACTTGACGAAGAAGATTGAAGTCGACGTGCGTGGCGAAATCAAGGACTTGAAGGAGACTGTCGATGGCATGACCGAGAGCTCGAGTCTCTTCGCCGATGAAGTCACTCGTGTGGCAAGAGAGGTTGGCACGAAAGGACGATTAGGAGGTCGGGCTTGTGTAACTAATGTCGGTGTACATGGAAGGTGAGTATGCCGCACAGGCTGTGGATCAATGCTCATCTCAAATAGGACTTGACGGACAATGCGAACGTTATGGCTGCTAACGTAGGTCCATTTTATCTTCACGGGGCTAACGCTGATTTTTCGGCGTCGTAGTTGACCTTGCAAGTCCGAACTATTGCTATCGCAACCGCGAGTATTGCTTAGTGCGACCCAGTCCTTCTGTTGAGTTTGTCATCAGACTGCTGTCGCCCGCGGAGACTTAACTCAACAAATCACTGGTGTCTCTGTGTCCGGAGAGATGCCAAGCCTAGTCAACACTATCAACGACATGATTGCTCAATTGGCAGTCTTGGCCAAGGAAGTCAAGAAGATCGCATTCGAAGTCGGTACAGAGGGTAAATTGGGTGTCCAGGCTGAGGTGGGTATCTGGCAAGAAATTATGTAAGTAAGGGATACCATTCGCGGGAAAGGATGTTGACGTTGCTGTAGGATGTCCGTCAACACTATGGCCGGCAACTTGACCACGCAAGTGCGTGGATTTGCCCAGATCTCGACAGCTGCTATGGACGGAGATTTCACTCGTTTCATCACTGTTGAGGCCAGCGGAGAGATGGACTCTTTGAAAACACAGATCAATCAGATGGTATTCAATTTACGTGACAGTGTCCAGAAAAATACCGCTGCGAGGGAGGCAGCTGAGCTAGCGAACAGGGGTAAATCTGAATTCCTAGCGAACATGTCACACGATATCAGGTAACACTATTCTTCCTGCTCATCTCGATATTATGTACTAAATATCTCATAGGACACCCATGAACGGAATTATTGGCATGACAGAGCTTACTCTTGACTCTGATTTGAATCGATTGCAACGAGAGAGTTTGCTCTTAGTGTACTCATTGGCTCGCTCGCTGCTACTCATCATCGATGATATTTTGGATATCTCGAAGAGTGAGGATCTATTCCTGATGTCAATGCATTAATCTGACTACATGTTCTACAGTCGAGGCCGGTTGAATGACTATGGAAGCTGTCTCATACTCCCTCCGTCAAACATTTTTCAGCATACTCAAGACCCTTGTCGTCCGCGCCTCTCAAAACAACCTCGATCTCACATATGATGTCGACTCGGACATTCCTGATCAACTTATTGGCGACTCTCTACGACTTCGTCAAGTCATCACGAACTTGGTTGGTAACGCCATCGAGTTCACACCGTCCAAGGTCTCTCGCAAAGGCCACGTTGCACTTAGCACAAGGTTACTGGCGCTGGGTGACTCGAGTGTGACACTAGAGTTCTGTGTCACCGACACGGGGATCGGTATTGCCAAAGACAAACTGAATCTCATTTTCGATACCTTCTGTCAGGCAAACGGTTCGACGACGAGAGTACGTCTATGTTGCAATTTATCGCAAGGGTTGTAGCTGATCGTCGCACAGGAATACGGGGGGACCGGTCTGGGTCGAGCTTAGGAGAGAGCTGCAGATGTGCATTACACCCGAACACCTCGTAGGTGAGTGCTGACTACGTGCAAGGGAGCGGAATACGAGAAGAGAGGGTGATGAATATCTGCGGAGACGAAATTAGGAATGGAATCGGCAAGGGGAAAATTGGTCATGGCTAGGGGGACCATTTTACCCCTTGCCACTGTGACGAAGCTGCCCGGACTACTTCTCGGCCCATCATCACGTGCATCATTCATTCCACCATCCCTTTCGTCGAAACGTACAAAACCGTGATCTATTCGACTATCTCTCCTGACAGACTCGGAGCACTTGAAAGTTCCAGAGATTTCACTTCTACACTTTTTGCTCCTGACTTCCCTAGACGTTACTCGTTTCGATACATTTTCTTCCAGTCCCCCCACCATAACCAGAGTCTTTATACTCCTGCGTCACCTTACAAGCCTGTTCCCTATATCATGAGCAGTCACCGATATTTATTTGGAAACACCTGAAGTAGATTGGGACTCGCTTGCAACTCCACGTTCCGTTGCAGAATCCTCTTGCAGCGATTCCGGCATAACATCAAATTCTTCTTTTGTATCGGCGCAACTCTCACCTTCCATGGTATTCTACCATCGATTATCGACGATCAGCCGTATCGGTCGTATCGGTGCAGAGCGCCATCGCCAATTACTTACTGCCCGGAAGACTCGTCTGAGTAGTTCTCGTTCTAAACGTTTGTCATCCAAGCAGAATAGACAGTCTTTGAATCCTCTTTTCAAGGCAAGGGATATTTTTTATGTCCTCTTAGGCATCGCGCTGATGACCCGAATTCACAGGAATTATCTCAACCATCGTCTTCCCGAAAACATTTCTCACCCTCATCTAACACTCAATCTCAGCCTCCCCACTGCTCTTTCTCCACTTCCATAGGATGTCTACGTCACATGCCACCTGAAACTCTTTGTCCGACCTTCGTCCTGATAAAGCGAAACCTCCTTCAATTTACATGCTATCTTCGCCCCTTCCTCTCAAGCACAAGACTCTGTCCCACTTGATTCGATACCTTTATCAAAAGATCTCATTACACTACTCGAAACTTTACTCCTTAAAACCAGTCCTCCTAATTGTCGAATAATCGAACACGTAGATTTTGGTGGAGAAGTGGACTACTCTGGACACCAGCGGTTCCAGGAGCCGCCTCCAAGACCCGAGGCACGTGCCACTACCAACTATGTCAGACGTTAACGCCTCATGCAGCCCAACTTGTTGTTGAACCATATATCCCAGAAAAAAGCGTCATCATGCAAAAACGAAGCGTTCAGCCTTGCACTTGAGGGCAGTACCCAACGTTCTCTACTGTCGTTACAAGCAATATGGTCAAGTAAATCTCCCTTCCCTCCAAATCCCAACCAAGTACTCACACACAAGAGCAGTTAGGCGTGCTAGCTTGGTGTTCCGAGACAACATGTTCGCCACAACACGCACGCAAGCTCTCCGCACCTGCGAAGAAATCCTTTTTATATATATTGCATGCTTTTGTATCCCCTTACGGTATTCAGTGAGTAGTTTTGGCATTCACTCTCTATCGTTCTCTTCGTTATTCTTCTTAGGTAACTTGTTCAGCACTTGCTCCTAGTACAACTCCCTGTTCTGCAAGCGCTGCTCCGTGTCGAGGACAAAGAGGCGGCGTGAACGTCATGGCAATGTTTCGGCGGCCCACCTCCGCCGAGACCGTTTTACCCCTTCAGCTGCCGCGGCCGGGCAACTGCCTCAGCCGGGCAACTGCCTCAGCCTGGAATGTCTCTATGGGATTTGTACGTCCTACGTTGGACCAGGGGTCCCAAGGGCAGGAGCTACGCGTCAAAGGGCCTGTCGACCCTTTCTCTAGCATCATCCTCATCGCAGCTTGTCTGCCTTGCTCTAGGCTTAGGCCGCTGGCCCTGCTCCAACGTCCTTCGACGAGCCTCTCATACTTGTTATATCAAGTAGCTCTAAGCTCAAGGTAGCTTAATGAAAGTTTAAATATGTACACATGGTGTTTGCGGAGTTTTTCGTCGACCAATTTGGCTATTATCCAAAAGTAGCGGTGACCAAGTAGGTTAGGTGATGCGCACCATGAAACGGCTCCCATGTGAAGGTTTAACCGACGCGGTGGTGGCCAAATCAGGCAAAGTTTAGGGTCCAGGTAACCCTTCTTCAGCACATACTCAAAACGGTCACTACTAGTATGATCGATGCGTCGATGCCATCGATTAACGTTTGAGGGTCCAGGACGGCTTCAAAATGACGTACATCGACATATCTTTGTATATATGGGTGCCAGTGTGCACTGTGACCGGTACTTGTCTGCATTTCTCCCTACTGTCATTACAGTTTAATTACTCGCCCAGTATGCAATACCCTGATGAAACCATCGATCTTGCCCAATTAACGATGGCTGAATTTGTTGGCCATTCTCGACATTTGTTTACGCAGATGCAGGACGATCAGTCGGAAGTTGATTTCATTCGCTTTGTGCTAGCTGCAAGAGTCGGGCCACTCGCAGATGAGGAACTCGCAAAACTTCCTGGCAGTATAATGTATCATGTACTGTAATTGTAGAAGGTATGTGATATATCCACACCTTTAATCCTTAGACAGTGATGTATCAGCCTCTGTCACCTATACCATTTGCCCGTTATATATCATGCTACTATTGAGTGATGTATCAGTATGCATCTATACCGCTTGTCAGTAATATATCATGCTACCATCAAGTGATGCATCAGTATGTTTCCTGTATCGTTATATATCATTGTTTCTTGTAGCGTTATACATCATTGCCTTGTGACTCAGCGAGTGATATATCATGTATACCATTGCCTCGTGACTTCAGCGCGTGATGTATCCTGTATTGTTATATATCATTCTCGTGACTTTCATGACTCAGTAGTTGATATATCATGCCTAGTATGTCATAAAACATATATTAGAAACCTCCGTCGTATACAAAATTGCCGCTACAAACAAATTGGACATATGCTAAAGTACTTATATCAGTCCGCAGGAGGCTCGGCACTCCATGACGGGACAGCATCCCACAATGACCTGAACCATGCAGACATTCTCCGACGTAGCATTGCCTGGCGATGTGCGTATGCAACCGCACCCTCTGTGAATGCAGGCGATGAAAATTGCCGTCGTGAGCCTTGTGCGTCCCACCATCGAGCCTGCCACTCAAAGAAAGAAAGAACATGGCGCATTTCCTCACGAAGGAGTTGTACCTCCTCCTCCCACCGATGAGCCCGTGCCCGTGCCTTGCACCATTCCACACGCAATGCTACAATATATTAATCAAGCGATGCGCACAGTCAAAATCAAAGACTTACAATCCTGCAGCCCTTCCTCCTGATTGTTTGATACCCCAGGCGTTTTCCATATCCACAAAATATTCTGCTGGCCAACCGTCTTCCCTTCGTCGTGGTTGAGTGGGACTGCATCTTTTGCCCTGTCCAGTGGCTTCAGTATCCGCTGCCAGTCGTCGTTCTTGCCTAGTTTTGAAGCAAGCATTATAAGCGCGTCTCGGGCAGCAGTGTACTTAGCTGATATTGCATTGATACGACTTTCGGCAGAGTGAATAATGCCCTGGGCACGAGTGTTCGCACGCTGACCTCGAATGAAGGCGTTCTTGTATTTGTAGAGGTGGTAGGTTATGTTGATGACAGCGCGGAGGTCATCCAGAGCATCATTTGCCTGTGCCTGATGCAGATCCCATTCGTACCTTAGCAAGCGGTTGTCACAAGGGAAGCTCGAGGGCAGCGAAGAAGGGAGAAAAAGTTGTATCTTGTGGACCTTGTCCTCAGAGGCAATATCATCGGGCGAACGCAGGCAGGAGACGTAGGGCATGTACAATAATTGTACTTGGGACCAGGTGCTGATTCTACGATGGAGGGCATTGATGTGCTGGAGAATCTTGATTTTTTGCGCATCGGTTGCATGCTGTCCAATGGTGCGAGCTTCAAGCTCAACACGTCGCCTAAAAACATGTCAGCCACAAGCACAATATGTGATGCGTGAATACGCACTGCTGATCTTCTAGTTCCATCCCTGATGATATAAGGACCGAAGGTGATATATCTCGCCTGGATCCAGGTCCCATCGCGCGAGTGCTTGTAGCGATGGGGTTGATATCTGCCCACCCGCGCTCTGGGGCTTCGCCATCAGTCCGCCCAACACCCTTGATGAAATTAAACGAGAATTTCGTTTGGCAACTGGCGATGTGTGCTGGTAGATGAAACTTAGGAACAAAAAATGCGACAACCTTGTGATCGTGGTCGATATGATACTGATGTGGGAATGTCGACATGCGCGACCAAAGATTTTTGTTCCACTGACAGGCGATATCGTAAGATATGTTGAGGACGTGAATGTCTTGTGAAGAGCGCATGCTTGAAAAAAATAGATAATCCATATTGATGTACCTATCAATGGTAGGTTAAGGAAACACGACTATGATGCATTAGATAGAAGAACGCACCTTTCTCCTTTTTGTAAGTCACCAACTGAACACGGTCGTTTGAAATTGTGCCGCGCACAATCAACTGTGCCTGCACCCGTTGCCGCAAGTCCACGCGAAGCCCTCGTATCTGCTAGGTTCACAGCAGAGTGGCTAGAGCATGTGCTCTTCTACATTTAACCATGGTTAGTGGCGTGTCTTAGGCAAGTATATTAAACTTACCTCCTGGGGATTCCCCACCCTGTAGTGCGAAGCCAGAAAGTCCTTGTACGCGGTCTCCTCCACAAAAAATGCATACCCGCGATTCAGTCCCAGATCAACGGCATCTGAGGATACATTACGCCGAACTAGTCGGAAATTTGCATCAATAGCCAGGAACATTGCATACAAAAATCTGTGGCTGAGTTAAGAATGAAACGCAAAACTTGTATGGGCGTTCTTACTGGAATTCCGGTGGAGAATTTTCCCACCCAACAGGTAGATTCCTGCTTGGATGGGGACAGGCAGGGCATAAGACGGCACAAGCACC